ATTTTTACGTCTTATACTGTGGGTAAAAACGGCTGCTGCTATGATTTTGTCTTGTTTATGAGCTCGTTGTTGTCCTAATTTAGGATCTTCTTTTTTAATAAATTATTGAAAATCTTAAAAAAAAAGTGAGATAGGGGGCCCAGCGAGGATGTTTGCCCTGAGGCCCGTGCTGGCTCTCGACGTTCCTGAATAGCACCTTAAGAAAATTTAAGTAAATGAAACTTCTTCTGCTAGGCATATCAAACCTTTCCCCTGTACTGTGTGAAATTGTTATTCTTGAGCAGTTTGTAAACAAACTGTACCTTTGGGACATTTTCATGGTGCTTCATTTCATCCTAAGGTTTCCACTTCTAGATAGTTTCTTTTCTATTTAATTTGCATAATTGGTGTTATTTTGTTTATAACTGGTAATTTTGGCTTTAAGGTTTGTCATAACAAACCTTGAAATTTAGCAAAAGCACAATAGTTTTTAAGATTTTTTTCAAACTTACTGTGTATTTAATTGCATATAACAATAAAAGCTGGATACTGTGTGAAGAAAATTTTTCATGTTAGCCAGCTTGAGAATCTCTCCTGGAAAGTTTAGTTTCCTTGTGTCATTGCTTTATCTAACTTCTGGCTATCTTTTACGTCTTCAGGAAAGTCTAAGATGATTAATCAAGAAATGGAGTAAATATTTTTGGTATGTGACTGGTCATTAGTTAACCTAGTATGTTGTTATTGTAAGATAAAAAAACAATGATTAAATTACCAAATTTGGTACTACTTGTACATTTTTAAACAGTATCTTAATCTTTATATGCCAGGTATAGATCTTATGAAGATATTCCAATGTTCTTTCAAAATTATATATGTAGTACAAAAACCCTACAATAAAAACAATTATAATTTTTTATCTTTAATATGCATATTTTGCCAGTCCTACAATTAAGAAGTATTTTAATTGTGGTTTTTATTATATCCTTATTTAATCATATTGTTATTAGCTTTTCTGTGAATACACCTAATTTGACTGTTATAGTAATAAAATTTTGACAAACTTTTGAGTACTATTGTAGAAAACCATGTACAGCATGACATATATAAATATAAATGTTTAAAGAGATGTGTTCATTCAGAAAACCAAATATTTGTCTTGCTATACATTAAAGAAAATAACCCCTGAGAAGCTTTGATTAGATTACTTCATTGTCTGACTATTTAGTTCGCTCTTTAAGTTATTAGTACCTTTCTGAGAGTACAGGTTGACATTTAAAGATAAAGATTCAGTGATCAGCACTTAATAAAATATTATTAAATAATAAATTATTGTTTTTTTTATTTTATTGAGAGTGTTGATCATTGAATCTTTATCTTGAATCTTAGTTCTTTCCTTTATTGTAAATGCTTTGAGAATCATTCATCATTTGAAGAAAATAAACATGATTATTTATATGTTCAGTTATTGGTTTAACAGTGGCTTCTCTCTTGCTGTAGCTCTTCCAGGAGCGTCCAGTTTGGTCAAGAAATGCTCTAGTTGCAGTGATGGGATGTGAACGAACTGTCATAAAGTTTATTTTGCCAATTTTTTCATACTACCATCTCACAGGACCATGGAGAAGCTTTTGGGTGAGATTTCAGTATGATCCAAGAAAAGATCCATTAGCCAAACAATACCAGACTCTTGACTTCCGTGTTAAACTACGTAAGTGGTAATTTTCAGAGAGCTGGTGTGATTAACACAATTTATTGATATAACCAGTTGCTTACAAATGTTGATTATAATGATTAGTATTATGTAAAATAATCAATCAAAATTATGATTAGCTCAATTAATGTCATGAAAATAATCAAGTAACTGAAATATTACCATTATGATTTCTCATTATTATTTTTGATTAATTCAAGGCTACTTAGCTTAATTTATTAGTGTCAGAACTCCCAAAAATAATCAACTACATGAAATTAATATTTCTGAGTATACTGTTTTTTATTATTCCAATTATCCGTACTTCATATGAAAATATTTAATTAATGAATCTGATAATTAATCAGCTAATTGCACAGCTCTACTTTTCATTAAAAAGAGTTACCTTATTCAATTTGATTATAACCACATATTTATAAAAAGTGAGTGAAAAATCACCAGGTAACTTGCAGTACAATTCTCATAATTGAATAGTGAAGTTCTAGTTACATCAGAAAACAACTACATGTGCATGGCCAAGATTTCTAAGACCAACAAAACAGACTCTTTGCTATTGGAGACGTGTAGAGAATAACCCACATCTAACATCCACTGCTGTTGTCAGACCCGTGCAAGTATAACTCAGTGTCATCAAAAGTTCTTTTTGTAGCATGGGCTACAATGGTAGACTAGTTAGATGGAAGCTACTCCTCATTTTAGGCAATATTGTATATCAACAGCAGTGGGCATCACAGATGCTATCACACTTTCTTGCCTTTTGGGTGTTGTAATTTTTTTCTGTTGAGTCCAGATTTGTATGATTTGTGGACACTAGATGCATCTGAGTTTGGAAATGATCTTCCTAGGAATTTTCTTTGAATCATCTCAAGCTATGACAAAATACAGACTATTTTGGTGTGAGGTATCAGTTGGGTGGCTGGATGATTACAGGTTGCAGTATGCCAAGATATCTAGCATTGTAGGAGGCCTTCTATCTATCTATGCCAATGACAAACTTACCAGACAAGGTAGTATTTTCATGCAAGAATGAGCTTCTGCTCTTTCAACCCAAGTCACAAAACAATGGTTTGAAGGACAGTTCTTTGCTACCTTCCCATGATCCAGTCAATCACTGACTGTGAATTTTAATAAGCACAAGCTTAGGTACTTGTACTTTGTCCAGGTTATGAACTTAAAAAAATGTGGGGGTGGATGCTATGATAAATAACACAAAAATCCTAACTTTCACACAATTTATTTATAACATAACATATTTTAACAATATTCATTATTACCTCACCAAAGGTTTTGTATAAGCTTTAAGAACTCACTATGTGTATACTTAAAAGATGGTATACACTGTGCAATGGTCAGGGTGACTTTGTATTAAGAGGTAGCGGCCAAAGTAGTGGTGGTGGAAGTGCTTTCTGTTACCCAATTTCAACACCCAGCTCTTAACGTCCTTCCACAGTGTTTCACGTGATTAATTAATTGTTGGTCATTGGCTGCAGAAGTGTCTTACAGACCAAAGTTGAAACATCACAGGTCAGAGTAGGAAGTGGGTATAACTCAAGAAATGGCTCTTTATATCAGCCTTATGGTGGCTGTTGGAGAAGAAACTTCAGCTGAATTTATGTATTATTGAAATAATGTAGGCATTTCACTTCATTGCATTCCTCCATAGAGTGTTAGTGCACTTACTGAGATATATATATGACGTTTGTGTGCCCTCCTCCACACTTTGTGTATGTGGTGTTATAGAAAATTTATTAATTTTTGTATAAGGATGTGGCACCGTCTGTGAATATAGTGAACTTTAACTTATTTCAAAGATAAGAAATGCTCAATAACAGCAATAATGGGTGTGTGTGTGTGTAAAGGGGGTTGTTATTCTCTCATTAACATGCCCTCTGTTCCAAATTATCATTCCACAAAGTTTGATTGAAATTAGCCAAGTGATTTAAGAGTACTTAGATAATGAACATACAGACAGACACAGATTTTTATGCTTTATATATATATATATAGATAGATAGATAGATGTATGGTCCATCCCTGTAAAACATCTCAAACAAACAACTTCTAGGGCCATCCTCATCTAAGTTCTTCACTAGAAGTGGTGTTACAGTCCCACAGGCTCAGAATTCTAGTCTTGTAAATAAAGTATGTACCCATGTTAATGTTTTGAATACTGACAAAGGCGTATCAGTTAAATACTAATGGTAATATTGCACCCCTTTGTGTCATGTTTATTTGATATAATGGGTTCTTTCTGGAGTGGGTGTCTATTTACATGTTGGAACCATTACTGTTCTAAAATTGTAGGTAACTGACCATAAAAATTAGCTTTAGATGAAAATAGGAAAGTACTAATGTTTTCTAAATGTGACAGTAATGTTAGTGAACTGAAATGTTTGAGAATTAAAAAAAAAAGAATAATGTATAAATATGACATTTCTAATAAAAGAATTAGCATAAAGAATCACACAAAAAATGTGCAGTGAATTTCAAAAAGTTTTGGGTCTTTCTTTTTTTAAATTTCAATTCAAATATGACAGTTTTTTTGATATTCATTTTATACTTTTCATCTGCTATTTTCTTCCTTAGTTAAAAAGCTTACGCATGTTTTAAACTAGGGTTTGGAATAGTAATAAATAATACTGTAAAAATAATAATCAGTTCAGAACTTCAAACAATTTTCAGTGGGACCATCACATGATGTAGGAATTAAGTCCAAAAGAAGTGCTTACAACTACAAGCTTCCAACAAAGTTTAGCCGACCAGGTGATCGGGTTGCCACAATTCAAACTCAGAGTTTCTCTCTTTCTAGAGATGAAGAGCCAGAAGACAAACATGGAGAAGAGGAGATGAACAGAGTAAGTAAAAAATAAAATGTTTCTTATTTTTTAATATTTTTGTCAGCTTTTGTTGCAGTACTGTGTATCAAGAGAATATAGTTAAACTGAGCAATAAGAAAGGGAAAATTTGTTTTAAAAAGAATTAGATTTATGAAAATACAGTAATAAAAATATTATTTTAATAGTTGCACTTTAACTGCTGATAGTTGGTGAAGCAGTATAAACCAGTATGCCTAAAATTTGTGATAAAACACATTAATTGCAAATATTTTCCCCAACATTACTCGTAATTTGTTGTGGATTCCACATCAGAGGCAAGTAAAAAAAAACTTACAACTCAGATCTGTCTTTTGTCTCCCACAGGTCATTATCTAATCAAGCCTATTATTTTAATGTTCAAACAATATAAAGTATTCATCATTTAGCTCTTACCAATCCAGCAAGATTTATAACATGAGATGTTACCCAGTAGACTTAAGTGTACTTGTATTTGTAAAACTTAACTCAGTACAGTGTTTATTGACACATCCATAAATTTGAAATGACAATCATTTATTTGTATAATTGGTGGAGGTATATAGTTTTTAAGCCTCAAATGTTTGTTCAAAAGTATTAGTAATAGTTCAAAATTAATTTTGATAAAGTCATCAAATTCTTATTAATACAAAAAGAGCACTAAATGGTATGAATACAGAACAGCTGACAAGTTTGCCATATAACTACTTTAACTAGGATAATTAAACTAAACAAATTTCCTTTTCTTTTAATAACAAGCAGTTTTAATTGTGGTTTATTTTAGTTTAATGTTGACTGTTGGTGCTGTTCATTTGAGTACTTTACATAATTTGTTAAACTTCCAAGTATCACTGATAAATTTTAAACTATATAAAAAATTCAGATAAACTTTAAGAAAAACACTTAATCCTCTCTGCAATGTATCCATATGAGTCTCGTAAATGAACATAAGAAGTTTTTTTCTGTTTTTTCATAGGTTTTTGTAAGCTTAGAAGAAATGGATAGTGTGAAACTTGTAAATTAGAGTATGTTTACAATTATGTAATGCTACATATGCATATGTGTAAAATTTCTACACTGTTCAATAGTGTGTGTGTTTGTCTAAAGATAATCAAACATGCAGATGCCATGAGTATTATGGGATACTTTGTCAATATTCAAGGCAAGCATAATATATGTAAAAAATAATATTAGTTTTAAAATCCAAACACCTGAAAGAGGACATGGTTAAAATACAAACACAACAAAACATTGTGGTAATAAATGCTTTTAACCATATCCAATTTTAGCTATTTTGATATCACAACTAACTTTGTGTTGAGATATCTCCACATTTTATCTGATAATATTATTGAAGCACAATATATTTTTGTAACTACTAGAAACTGAGCTACAAATTCATCCCAGGACTTCTGCCACCTTGCCGCCAGATGTTCTATCAGCTCTGTGATATAGAAGAACCAAAAGTTCAGGCCCTGGTTCATCAGAATGATGATCAAAGTCCTGAAGAGTGCCATCCAAAAGAAGGGTGGTGTGTGCCTGGTGTTCTCGAACAGTGTCGAGAAATTATGCAAGAATCTTTGCAAGAAACTTTGAAGAAGATTAGACTAAAAAGTATGTGCCCACTATTTTAACCTTTTTTTTAAATATTTAAATCCACTATTCCATAGCAAAAACTGCTTTTTTACTACAGTATTTGTATATTTTGTGTATATTAACAAGCAATATCTGACTTAATCAAAGAAAATTACAGTAGATTGCAAAATGAGTCCTTGTAAAATCCAGTAAAGAATAAATAGCTTATGTACATGGGTGAAGCACAGGTGCAATCTGCAAGGCATTTTGCTGCAGTTGGAAAGGTTGATAGACTATACAGGTGAAGAGTTACATGCTACCAAAGTGAAGCAGCTTTGGGTGATGGTCATCAGTTGTATCACCAGCATCAGTCATCTTGGTAATCCCTGTCAGTGATTTTTTTTTCTTCTTGTTAGTTAGCTCTCTATCTCTTCTCCTGCTAGTTATCACTTGGATTTTTCATGCTAATTATTTCTTTCTCACCATCTTTCATCTGCTGCCTTTCTTACTTTTTATTATACAGCCTATCTTCCTTTAATGACTGCTCATCATGCTACTATGTCTTTCTTCATCTTCTGTTGGCATATCCTAATCAGCAATATTCAATAGTTGCATTCTTCACCCACATTTTCTTTCTTAAGCAAGCTACAGTTTTGTCATCCATGAGGACCCTGGAATATTCCACACTATGTTTATTGTTATTGTGTTTTGTAGGTAGTACTGCTGTTGACACCACCAATCTCCTATTACTTTGACCCTGCTGCAGATCTAGGGAAAGAACTTAGCTTTTATTGATTTTTCCTCATTTGTTTGAGGCTGTTTACCCTAATCTTGATTTTGACTATTGGAAGGAAATCTCTCCTTATTGTCATTTACAAAAGCTGCTTTAAATGCATTGAGCTTGAAATGCAGCTTTTGGACAACCAGCTTGCTAAAAAAACAAGCATATCCTGTTTCCCATCACAATTACACCTGCTGCACTGTTAACATTCTGAGCATTTTGTGATCTTGCACTTGCAGGTCAGCTTCAAAACTAATGCTTTTTATATTTGTATAGAGTTTGGAGTGAAATCACATTAAAACAACCAATAGCCACAAGCCAATTTTATAGTGATTTCACTGAGAACACATACTAGTCACTCCAAACTCTATACAAAATTAAAACAACCAATAGCCACAAGCCAGTTTTATATTTGTATAGAGTTTGGAGTGACTAGTATGTGTTCTCAGTGAAATCACATTAAAACAACCAATAGCCACAAGCCAATTTTCAGCAATAACTGCTCCAACTAACCCTATAAAAGTTACTATCTGTATAAGTATTCCTTTTCTTTCAGGATTGCTCTACACCATTCGTCAAAAATAAGCTGTATTCTGCTACATTTTTGGGAAATACAACAAAATCCCACATTAAACAGGCTGATAGCACTTTAGCAAAACACACTGTGATTAAATCATAAATCACTTGTTAAACTTTAGAATATTATGTTTGGATTATCCAAAAATGTGATGGTTCTAAATTTGTATGGCATCCTTAGTAGTTGGATGTGTTTTAGAGCTGTTGTTATCTTTCACTATCCATGTTGTGTGTAGTAGTATATGCTCAGTGGTCTAGTCTTTGTACTAATGTGTAATAACATTTTTAAAAATTGAATGTTCAATTATTTGAACCACCATTCATAAGATTAAGTGCTTATGAAATATTTTGTTGCCATCACAGTAATAATAAAAGGCTTATTTGCTTTGCCTGAAAATTCTGATGTCTTTCATTCTGTTTTAAATACTGTGATTGCTTACAAGAAATTGTACTTCACTTGCAGGAAAATAAAATTTGATTTATACAGTGAATATAACCTTCTATTTCACATATTTTTTCATGTTATATATACATATCCAAGTAGGTGGTAGAGCATCAACATAACATAAAAATATGGAAATAATACTTTTAAGTGTATGAACAAGCATTTGTTTTTATTTATAATTTTTCCTTTATATTTATACTTTGCTGAAAGGGTGTAAATTAAAAATGGGGTGGGTAAAGTCAATTGGCCAAATATTGATTAATTATAATGTCTTATGCAGTCACTTACTCAGGAAGCAGTTTGGTTTTTACAATGAACTTTGCAGGTCCAAAATAAAACAACTTATCAGTTTTAAGACCTGACTATCATAAAATTTAAACTTGCTAACTAGTACTTGGTAAGCCCTAAAGAAAATACCTGAGATCTTTCCCTCTCAAGAAGTCATGCCAGAATATTTTATCTATACACTTATTACTTAAACAAATATCATATTGGTCTGATTATAGGGTAGTGTTTTTTAATTAATAATTAGGCTGTAAAATTCATATTTGCCTTATAATCACAGCCAACCACAGGCCCCTTCCCCCTACTGTAGCCTGTCACATTCCTTGATGTCCAAATAGCATCTGTCTATGCATGTGTGCCATATGTTCACACAAGATCATCACTAATTCTTGTAGTCAATCCACCTACAGGCTGTTCAGTTATAGTATTGATTTTGCAGACCTAAAAAAGGATATTATGACATTCAATTTTTTTTCTTTCCCATGGTTTATGAAAATGGGGGTTGCCTTATATTTGAGAGTGCCCTATAATCAGGCAAGTACAGTAGTTCTGATATTCTGAGAATATATATCAAAATTTTGTTTGGAACACGATTTTCTTATGAGGCTTCCAAGAACCTGGATAAGGTGAAAATTGTAACTGCTTGAAAAAATAATAAATACAAAGCATTGTATTTATTTCCTTATATTTCAAGCATATCAATTTCTGTATATATCTAGATATGTAGAATTGCCTATACACACAGAAAAGGTGAAGGAGCTAGTACCAAGAAGCTTAATTTTATGAGCTTCTCAGTGTGTTTTAAGTTATAATGCCTATCTTGTTGGTACTGAGCAAAGTAATTGTCCTTTAAGAGTTCTCATATTTTTTTCTCTTTCCACCATTATGGATGAACTTTTGTTTATTTTTATTTATTTATAACTGTAAATGTATAAGTCATAATGTTTTCAAATTGTTATAACTTACATTTTTTGGATGTCTGTTTAATAACACATTTTGTTTAGTAAAAGTATATTTGAAACTTCAGCAAGTTCAAAAATACTTAGCAAAAACTGCTGTAAAAGTTGAAGCTGAAGTAATATAGGAAAAATTTATCCTTTGTGATCTTTTCTGTCTCTGATTGTCCAGCACATGAAGAGACATCTTTAAATGAAGCTGAGTTGAAAGAGGAGGAAGATTTAGAGGATCTGGAAGATGATGCTGAATTTTCAGACCAAGAAATAGATGCTGGTGAAATTGAGGAAGTAATGGAATATATGAATACAGAATAGCTTAGTGAACTGAGTTGAACTTCTGACTTGAAGACAAACTCAAAGAAAAGCTGTAATAATCTATTATTTAAAACACTTTTGTACAACTAGAAAATAAAATTCTGTGTTTGTGAAATTTGTAAGTTATCTAGCAATCATTTTATGCAAACTTTTCAAAGTAGTAAAATGTACTTTAATTAAATGAAGATTTATGACTTTTTTTGTTTCTTCATTAGATATTATGAATTTTTGGGCACTAAATTAAAAGAATATTAAAACATGGCAATTAAAATAATATATCTAAAAATCTTCAAAATAGTTAATCCCTAAAGAAAATAAGTAATGATTTAAAAAACTGATAACAAAAAAAAATTTTTTTAAATCACTTTTTTTTTATTCGTAGGAACAAAATATGACATATGGATACACTAATTAAAAATAAAGGATATAAACCTCCACCAAAAGTTAATATATATATCTCCAATAACTTTCTTTTTGTACCAAAATATATTTAAATATTTTACTTTTAAATAAATATTTTTAGCATAACTTGGTACTCAATCTAAGTTAAACTTTAGAATACAGAGTTAATTTCTAAGATTACAAAAACCGATCCCATTTCCAATGATATATCAGATTTAACCTATGATTATGTTAAATTTAAATTCATGTATATTATCTGAAGTTTTTCAACTTTAATTATGTTTTAATATCTGTTTTAATTTATTAAAACCTCTATTTTAATCTGGCTGGTAACCAGATAGAAAAAAAAAGGGGGGGTAGTATTTACTTATTTTTTTTTACAATACATGATTATTAAATCTGTAATGTTAACTGATAAAGTTTGGGAATGAGGAGAAACAAATGGCATACTTTTTTACAAATCTTAGCTTTACCAGGAATTAAATACAAATTTCTACAAGTCAAGTCAGATGATGATTTATATAATCATTGCACAAATCTTATTAATAAGTTTGATGAACAAGTGAGGTCTATGACCATACATGTAATTTACACTTTTTATATCACCTAGTTCATTGTCTTTTATTTACTTATTCAAGAGAAGTAAAACCACAAAGGCAATATGACTGTGAGGTCATGATTTTCATGCTACTACAAATAGTTGCATAAAATGAAAAAACTGGCAATCATCATAGTTTTCATGTTCGCTACATAATTAATCATGCCTACAATCTGTAGTAAAAATTCTGAAGGTAAAAAAAAGAAATGTGATTACATAAATGACCAAATACCAATCTTATCAGAAAACATATATTCAGAGTAGGATGTCCCACTTCTGCACACCTACTATCCAAAGATCATCTTTAAAATGTCATCAAATTTTATAAGATAAATTAACAAATAATTTAAGTTCAGAAGAAAATAATAAAACAGGAAATTGACTTCTCCAAATTATAGACACATGTTCGCAACCTATAAATTCTGGTGAAAATTTATTCATTAAATAGTAACATGTTCATTACAGAAAATTATGTTTTTAGGAGGTGGGAAGAACAGAATGTAATAAGCAATCAGACTTATTCAGTATTAACATACTTCCATCATTGGTAATCCTTCTAAAACAAACGAGATAAATCTGTTTAAAACAAAACTAAGAGAAACTGATTACACAGTTTGCTATCAGAAGAAAGAGTCCCTACAACTTCAAGATGACAAAACATGTTGCAACTTTAAAAAATTATTAATACATCTGATAATATTGGGAAATAAATTGTAAAGCGCTAAATCTTTATTAGCATAGTCTGTTCTTTAACTTGAATGTTTGAATTTTAAAATTTAATAAGTTCTTTATATATTATTCTGCTTCTTAACTCAAAAAGACATTTTCTTTATTAAAAGAACCTGAAATTAGGCTTTAAATGTATATTTACAATCTTTTTTTTTTGTAATGTATCATAAGCATATAAAATATGTGGATATTTGTATTTTGAGTGTTGTTTTTCCAACTTTCTTGAACAGCTTTTAAAATGATTTAATATGACAAGAAAATTAGAATTTGTTAAATGACATACAACTTATTCCATGTATACATTTTTATCTTTTAACAGTTTAACTGGTACACATACTAGGTTTTATTTTCTTGGAATTAAGAATTCTGTGTAGCACCAACTTTTTGAATAAAAACAAGTATATCAAAGGTGGTATATCTTTCACATCATTTTTAAGCTACACATTAAGATTCAATAGAGTTGCTTAAAGAATTATCAAGTCAAACTGGGAAAACCTTTCTGCCATTGATTAAACGAAATGTTTTTCGAGATATTTTATCAAAAAACAACAAGCCCGCAGCTCTTTCAATGCTTTCAATTGGAACCTGTAACAAATCAAATAAAAAAAATTTAATCAAAATTTTAGAATGTACGATTCATAACTTGTAACAATAGAATTTAATAACAATTAAAAGGTGTACTCGTAACATATCAATATACAGTATATGTGAAAACAACCTGGGTAGTATCTTGAGATGTCTTTTATTCAGGTACACAACACCAAACACTCAAAAGTGTAAAACACTAATTGTGCTGTTTGCCATTAAGTTTATACCAATCAAAATAAAATATCAAGTTTTAACCACAGATAATACAATCCTTTTCAGTCTAGAAATACAAGGTAACAATTAAATTTATTATTTTTAATCTAAAAAGATGTTTGAAAAAATTATGATTCCATGCAAGAAACTTAACTCCCATGCCTTTCATAATTGTATAGATAAATATGAGGTGTTATAAAAAAAAGAATAACAAAAAATCAACTTATAAAAAATTATTACACATTAAATATTCCAGGTCTCTGCAATACATAAAAATAGTTTTATAATGACTCTAGGATTTCCCTCATTTTAACAAAACCTCCAATTAACAATTAACTTGTAGTTCTAAGAGTTTGGAAAGGCAAAAATAATTATCTCGATAGAAGATATGGTTGTATTTAGTTTTTGTTTCAATTTCTGAAAGTTTTTCTTGCACACTAATAAACTAAAGTAATTCTAAGAACTTATGAATGAAATAAAAAAAAAGAATATATAATAATATGTCAACTACACTACATCTGCTATATCCAGTACCAACGAGGTCTTTCAGCCAATACCATGGCTTGTCAGGCTGACTGGAATACAACAGACATAACAGCAGTTAGGATGCTATTTATATCATTACTTTCATGAACAACTATTGTTGTTGTGTGGACAAACTAGATTATGACAGTGAAATGTAATTATTTTCCCATACTATATGACATTACCAGTGATATGACCTCAAATCAACAAAGAATACAATGTTTCAACATATAGTACTAGTTGATATGTTTTAGATCACTAATTTTATTCATATTCACAATATAGCTTTACGCAATATGAATACAATTTTTTGATGATTTTGAAATCCTGTTTGAAACTGAACTCTTTACGTTAAGCAACAACAAAATATGTACTAAAAGAAAAATTCTTATAAAATCTCAATTTTTTTTTCTCACACACACACATATATATATTATATACACATCAGTTGCTAATGAAGTAAGAATCACTGAGATTTAAATTACTAAGTAGTCTAGCAATACAATAAGTTAAGTAACTTGAGAATATAGCATAAAAAGTTCCTTTAAAATATATTGTATTAGCACCATGACACAAAATATAATCATTCATCATTTTCCTTATACTTCAGACAATAACAGTCATGAGATTCTCCCTTAGAACATAATTATATATGCAAAATACAGTAAAAATTGCCTGCATATATATATATATTTATAAGGTTATATTTATTTTGACTTTCAATTTCTGAAATTTTTTCTTGCATAACAATAAATTAAAAGTTACTTAGAGGAACTACAACAGATGATGTAAGAGCCAAACAGAGCTGCTAAAACAAATAAGGATAAAAATCCGATGCTGGCATAAAACTTCTAAGAAGAGAAAATGATCAGTCTTTTAGCTTGCCTTATGGGACTGAGTATTTTCCCTGCTTAATATATCAAAATAATGCACTAGAAACATTAAATTGAACCAGCCATCATCGCCCTACCATAAATAAGTTCCAGAAAATAAGAGCAAGTTCAGTTAAAACATAACTACAGAATATATATATAAGCAGAGGGACTCCTGGGAAAATGTAGGATTCTAGAAGTATCACTTATGTAAAAGCTGAAGCTTCCATGAGATGAAGGTCCATTGAAGCATCTGAATAAAACTGTTAACAATGTGATGTTTTTTGTTTTGCACAACTGACACTGAAAATAAGCTGACTGTACTGGTATGCTTAAACATATATATATACATTTAGAAGAAAAAAAGTGTTAACAAAGATTACATATTCAATACAATGTTACATCTGCAACAACCCTTGGATGATATTGATCAGAACACCAAGACAAACCAAACCATTAATACACTTGAGAATTCCAATAATCCAACCTACCAAAGTAGCTACTACAGTTTTAACGTATGTTGATTTATTATGGTTAAACCAAACTCTGATGCCACAAATGCCAACATCTTACATAAACATTGATCTCCTGTGTACAAAGCCAAGCAGAAAATGAAACAAAAGTCAAAGCAAGAGCATGTAGATCTTAGCAAATCAGATAAAATGCACTTTCCAAATATCTTCAACTTAAAACAAGACTGAACCAATAACTATTTCAACCTTGATATAAAATGCTAGTTATCTTACATAAAGAAACAAAAATCTGAAAAAAAACTGCTGAAAAATATTTCTGGAACATCCTTTTTCACAAAGTCAACACACTCTTGGTTGAGGAAACTACTGTAGACTGTGTAGGAAAATAAAAGCAGAATCTACTACAGAAGAGGATTCTATCAAGGAGAAGTCAAAATAAGTACAGTACCCAAGTACTGTAGGTCAAATAAGTCTTGTGACAGTAAGACGTGGATAAATGAGCTCTTTCATGGGTGGGAGCAGAAATAAACAGGCAAGAAAGTCCAGAACAAGCTACCCTAAAACAGCACATGAGACTAGTCTAAGCTAAAAAGAACTGAGGAATAAAGGTCTTGGAATGGTTGGTAAGCAGAAGCAAATTAAAAGCCATTTGAATTAGCTAAATCTATTAGAGAAGCATGGTGAATCAGACCATAACTGAAACAATTATATAAAACGATAAAAACCCCATAACCTGAGTGCTTTTAAAAGGTAAAGGAGAAAGGTCCACCTTTCAAAAGAGCTCGAGTTATAGGGTTTTATCATTTTATGTTAAGGCTTCTTGAATCTCCTTGTTTTCCTGACATCATGAATGAAGCAACTATACAATGTTACTCAATCACCTAGTCCTCGGAAAAAGTTTCAGAGTGAGTTTAAAAAAAAGTTCAGATTAAGATAAGCAGAAAACACATGATGAAAAGGCATCAAAAGTCTCATACATCCAAATTTGAACCAAATTCATAAACAACTAAAAAAATATAGAAAAACTTATGAAGGATCATTGATTCAATTAAGAAGAAAACAACACACCAGGAGTAAAAGAAAATTAAATGCACTAAAGGTGGTTGAGTACTATCACGAAACAAATATAATGAAAAAATTGAAGAAGTGCAAATGTAACACCAAAAGTGTACAAAGTTATCAACAGAAAAATCCTAAAAACCATAAAAAAATAAAATTAGACAAAGAGATTTGTTCTACTCCACTTTTTCTAAATGACCCCCAATTCTGGTAAAAAATGTGAAAAGAAAGTGAACTTTATCATAAATCTTTGGACTGGAACCTCATTATAATAATAAAATTTTGAATTACTTTAAAAAGTTTTTAATAAGTAAATAAAGTTTTCAAATTTTGTTGTACCATAGCACAAACTTCATAGCTGGGCTCAAAGGGTCAAAAAGTAGAAGAAATAAATGGGGTAGAGCTATAAATAAGAATAAAAGTAGGGACAAATGGCTAGTAAAAGTCATCCTCTCCACAGAAAACATCAAGTTCAGGAAGGAGTTTTATCTTATACCAAGTATGGATACAAAAAGTTTAATAAAAATGGTCATTGGTAAAATCACCTTCAACAGTTACTGACGTGTATAAAAAAAAAATTATATTCACAAACAATCGAAACATGAAATATTTTGTCAAATGCAGCAGAATTCATGCATGTGAAATGATTTTATACAATAACTTTGTTTATGAAATAAGGAGAAAAAGTTTTTCATACCTGTAACATCACAACACACCAGCAAAAAAGTCAAAGAGAAACAAAATAACAATAACTAAGAATATAGGTACTATGCCCCTAGCAACTACTATCCATGTTAATACACGTATATCAGGGCAATAAGTGTTTATATGTATTTTATTTTTAATTTGCATATATGGCAAAGCTACTAAGACTAGTTTCCATCATCCCTAATTTTGAATTACTGATCAGAGGAAATGTAATCAATCAACACCACCTCACCAATCACCATCCATGATAAAGGACTGACTGTCAACCTTAAAACAAACCCACAGTTGCAAAGTGTTGCAAATACTTTGTGGTATCTCATGGATTTGAACCTGACTCGATGTTTGAGAGAGAGAGAGAGAACTCACAGTATATGATTCATCAGTCAGAAACAACATTAATGAATAAAAGCAGAATCAAAGTCAAAGTTTTACAGACACTTGAAATTTTTAACTTCCTGTACCTTAAGAGGTAAATAAAAATAACTGGAAGATGCCAGTTTCAAAATAGATGACAAAATTATATATATATATATATATACCATAAACCAAATAAAGATTGGAATATTATGGAATATTTATCAATTTTCCTCTCTACAGCTAAACAGATGAAAAACATTTCACCCAATGGATCACAAGTTTTTGATGGGGATGCTTGGTTCTAGTTTAGTTTTACCATTCATACATTAAATTAATGTCTAAGTAGCATTAAGTATTTCAGTAGTTGAATTTTAAATAAATAACTTACCATAAAGGCACTGAGAGGAGTATCCTCCTCAATAACTTTATTAGGCATCACATATGCTTCTAAGTCATACTCCCTCTGATCTGTTTCTCCCACTATAACTTTAAAGAAGTGGGTTGGAACAGCAACATTGTTTGAACCAATGACTTGATATTTTACATATTTCTTACCATCTGGCTCCTCTCTGAAACACAGAAGACCACATTTATACATATAGGCTTAATCTGCAAGGTGTAATGATACTGACACGAACTCACCTCTTCACACTCCATAACCAGTAATATAACTATGTTTAGGCTAAATGAATTTTGTTTTCCTACCCTTTCACCTCAAAAGCACTCTTAGCCATTTCTAGATTCAATATTTTTTCCATAATACATGTATTATAATAATAATATTATAATAGATGTGTAAAGAGAAAAAAAGTAGTTTTTGTAATTGTGGTCATACAGCAATTCTTGATTTACATACATTTTGTGTAACTGCCAGGGAATATATCAATTAATATAATTTTATTCACTTGGTCAAAATAAAATGTTTTTAACAGTATCTCCACCAAGTAATAACTAACTATATCAATTCAAAAAAACATCGTTTGTGAAATTTGGTTGTAATTAACCTATGCTAGAATATACAAAATCTAAGATACAACATGAACGTGAGAGATTGTGTTATATTGTAGGAAACAATTAGAGAATTTTCAACAGGGCTTACTAATTACTAGTTTCAAACCAGAAATGGGCAAGTTTACTTAGTCCATGAGAAACCAAAATAAACTTGTGTTGAAAAAAAGACAGCTGAGGTACAAGAGTCATGTTTCTAATAAGACTCATCTGACACACCAAATTAAATTTAAATGCAACACATGTAAATGTTTACATACAACAGGCATACACTGTATTTGTTTTTATAATTTACTGATCCTCTACTGAATATAACCATTTTACCCAAAGGATATATAAAACACTTTTATATCTGGCCTATCAAAGATTACCATAAAAAATATTACTCTTTTTCTTGTTGTTGTTTTTTTTATTCTTTAAAAGCATGGTTTAATTATTTTAACATACAAAACTAAAACATTTGATAAACTTAATACCATAACTATGGACAATGGTTGTGATAAACACATGTACATGGTTGCCCAAAACAAGAGTTCATATCACTCTGGCAAACAGAGGGTATGTTATTCCTACCTTCACACTTTCAAAATACTTTACACATAACCTTAATAACTTTTAAATTTTTTTTAATAATCTTTGAAAAAAATATTTTATTCAACCCCGTTTATACATAACTTGTATTGGTATCAAGTTATTTTACACTTAAAAACCACATCATGATAACAAATTTATATTTCATTATTTTGTTAATGCTAATTTTAATTTAGAGAGTAAATTACACTATATGTTACAATGACAAATAAAACCTGTTGCTGCTGGGTAGGAGTTCATAAGATAATTCAGCAGTCTAGTCACATGATTGAGATTCCTCTTAACATAATGCAAGAAAAAAAAAACAATTTCCACAGTATTTCTTTGTAAACAGAGATCAATGGCAACTTACATCCAACAATTAGGGAGTTATAGCAAAAACACTTACAAGCCCTGCTTGTGCAGACAAGTTAACTAACGGAAATATAAATTAAATGCAGACAATTTAAACGCCATTGCATGCAGTTGATAACTAAGGATTTCAAAATCTGAGACTCCAGTTTAAAGCTACTGTGCACACATGTCAGGTAAGATAATCGCAGTGACAAAGGAACTAACACACTAATAAAAAAAACAACAACCTACATTACTGATTCCCAGCTATACACATCCAAATTTATAACTGATATATATATATATAGCAACATATCTTACACTCAATAACAACTCAGTTTTCAATAAGCCACTCATTATGTATTATAAAATCAAAAATGATCGATATAATAATACTTATTTTACCTTGGTAGATAAAGGGGGCCTGTACAAACATAAACATTTCTGTAGGTGTTACGAGTTAAATGTCGAACATATTTTTCCAGTCTGTTCCACTTGTCCCTATTAAAACCTTTCCCAACCTGCCATTAGAAAATTATGTATTATATATGTTACTCAAAACAATACTAAATTCAAATAATAATAAATGTACAATTAATCCAGAAAGATTTCAAATAAAATGTAATATTTTCAACATCATTTTGGCTTTTGCAAAGAAAGAATGGAAATCATTATCTTTTTACCAGGTTAAAGATCTCTAAAATTAGAATTAACTGTTTAATTAACATAAAAAAAATTACTTCTAAGAGTTTAGTCTGTGAACAATCAATCATGAATACTGGTTTATATATACCAGTTATCCCATAGCATTACCTAATGAGAAAAAAAACTGATAAATTAAATCCTCTCACTTACAATTAAAAACTGCTCAAAAAAGATTTTATATAAGTATTGTTTGATTGTAGATTTTTTTTATTTTGCAGAATCTAAAATTTTTATATAATTCAGAGGTAGGATGCTTACAAGGTTAAAGAATGATCTTGTTAAACTGACTGAACATAAGTCACTCCTACCATAGTTGTATGTTGTATTTTAATTTGTCCTTATTTTCTGTGGGAATTTTACTTGACAACTTTCATTATGTTTTATCTATCCACTGTATATAATAGTATCACACAAATTATACAGTACTGTAAGTTGTGTTATTTTTACAATAAGCCTGAAAATATACTGTTATTTTAAATACATACCTGCGGGGCTATATTGCTAAGAAAAAACGTTTTATTTACAAGCTCTTGTCTTGTACGATGGTTGCCTGCAGCAGCTAGATGTCCTCTATCAAATCCACTTCCTTTGTAATCACTATTTTGTGAACGGAAGAAGGGATGGATAAAAGTATCTTCCTGAAACTCGCATTTACTCCGATCTACTTGATCGTTGCTTTTCAAACCTTCTCTTGTTAGGTGTTCAAACACCCAATGTGCTACTCGGTTTCTCTGATCATAGGATAAAACATAATTTTCTTGGGTCTTGATACTATTGTGACCAGGAATACCAAACTTCATTATCTGACTAACATTGGTAGCATTTGGTACTGGTTCAACTTGACTTCGTGCAACTGGTTCGAGAGATGTTGCTGCTATGACTGAGCTTTTGTTCTTCCATTTTTCAAATGTTACGCCTCCCATCCATCCAACAAAACCAGTTATAGCAAAGCGAACGAAATTTGAAGACATTGATTACTCAGTTAAATTATCTTTGCCGTTAAGCAATATATAATACAAAGGATATTAAAAGCTAACAAAAATTAAATAAATATTACTCGGTGAAATTAAAAACGTACATAAAAAATTTGAAGATACATCTATTACCTATACAATAACAATAGCATCTGAAAAATTTACAACAAAGGTATGAATAATAAAGGTCAAATGGTTGTATGTAACACCTATGATCTTTGTTACATATCTTTAGTTTCGTATTAACACCAGTTTACATTGTGACGAAAAATCAAACAAACCAGTATTAAGAAAAACCTCAGAATATTTCAAAACGATTAAAAACTATATATTTTATTTTTATAAACTATGTAAATAAATACTTTTTTATTGCAGCAACTTACTGGTTTCACACAATACTTACAATAATACAAAAAGGTAAATAAAGGTAAACGTACTACAAAGGTTATTTTATCTATCAAGTTTTCACTAGGTGTCCATGTCATTTATTGCATTACCATTGGCAACTGACAGCTAGATACTATTTGTTTAAATCATTAATTAGGTAACGGATGATAATGTGATTAACTTTCTTGCTCAGATTTAGATTGCATCGTTTTTCTCATGATGTAAAACAGTAGACCAAGAGTTTATCTCTGAAAGTGCTCAAGCGCCATTCATTAATTTCATAAAACAATAAGCTGATTATCTTATTCATTACCAGAACTTGTTAGTAGTGTTGCGTCAGCGAGGTCACGTGACTAGTATCACGCCACTCCTTCTCTCGAACCTTCGTGAATTATCGGGAGATTACTAGATTGGGGGTAGGCTGGTATATATAAGATGGTCACAACGTGACGGGAACAGTGTGGTAAGTAATTGAACTGCAGTCGGAGAGTGTGTACTGTCGAGCACAAGCACATGAGACGTTCTAGCGTTTGTTATAGAGCGACTGTTGAAAATAAGTGTATCGGTAAAGTTATATTCAGAAAGAATAAACCAGTTTTATTAAGAAAGGACTTGAGTCGCTAAAGTTTCGTGGAAACGAAGTTACGGAAAATCAACTAACAACTGGAGGTGTAACAGTAGGTTTGAACGACGACCAATAAGTTTTTTGGAAATATATTCAATATAATTAGAAAAATACCTATATATATAGATAGCGTTCAACGAAAATTTTGTCTCTCATCACCCAGCCCACCTGACGAGTTATCGTATTGATTGATAGGCCTCTTGTGCGTCGTGGGAGAGTGGTTGTTTGTTGTTAAGCACATAGCTACACAATGGACCTATCTGTGTTATGCCCAACACGAGTATCTACACCAAGTTCTTAGTGTTATAGGTTTATAGATTTACCGGTGAGCCACTGAAGACGCCTTGTGGGAGACTTTTTATATTTTTTATTAAGCACAAAGTTACATAATGGACTACCTGTGCTGTGCCCAACACGGGTATCAAAACCTGATTTTTAGCGTTATAAACCTATGACTTACAGATGAGTCACTAGTGGCTGTGGGAAACAAAAGATGGATCTGAAATGTTATTTTTACATGCGTTGAGATTGAATCCGCACTACTTCCATTGTATACTCTATCAAATCCACTTCCTATGTAATCACTATTTTAGTGAATGAAAGAAGAAATAAACGTTTTTTTTCACTGAAACTCACATTCACTCCTATCTACTTGATCATTGTGAAAACAAGTTAACAACGTCTGCACTTTACATGATTTTACCACACAGTTTAGGCCAATGGGTATCTTATTCCACACAGTACAAAGCCTTTCTTTAAAAAAAACGTAATAAATATAAATATATATATATATCGTAAACCACAGTAGTGGTTCATAATAGGGATCGTGTATGTTATTGTTACGTTCTCTTTCGTTGACGCGCTCTTTGATGTTATCTGGTGAAATTAATTCAATTTCCAGTCCACAAAACAATAACAAGTTAATTATAGTATTTTGGCACTTGTGTATAAAGTTAAAAT